TATTTTACAAAATTAAGTTATGCAATTTAATTTGGTATTTAAAAGAAATTAATTTTTTACTAGGCTGGACGATTTTCTATTTTGAATATAAATTGTGTATTCTTGGCGTAAACAAAGAATATATTATCAAAGCAAACGATATAATTTTATGGTCTCTATCAATATTTTTTAATTACTCATTTCCTTTTTTTGTTTATTTAAAGATTGTGTACATAGCAGGGATGCATATAGGATTATTACATAGTTGTTCGTTCGATACATTCTACTACCTCTTCAGAACCTTAAAACGCGCAAATAATGTGTAAAACTTGAAAATTTATGGAAAGTTAATGCGCTCTTCAATTTAATTTGCTGCTTCAATTCAAATGGTCAGTGCTGGTCATTATTTGTTGTGGGTCCTAGTTTGGGTTGCTTGTCATCAGGAAGAGGAGAGCTTGCGCAGCAGGAACGGAGTTATCCTTATGGCGGCACAGAGCACGGCAAACACTATGAAGCTGGCCCGAACCTCGTCCTTGGCGCGCATCTCGACCTGCGCCGGTTCGATTTGCTTAAGGCGCATCATGGCGAATGCTTTAAGGAGTAGAGATTGAGTAGATATATTCGATTTCTGCTATATATACAGATGTGCATATGCTCACCTATTTACTTGAAACGTTTATCGCGATTTGGCTTAATTGAAATTTGGAAGTTTTCTTTTCGTTATTCGATTCGTAACAAACTGGCTCACATTTATATGCTTAGACAACATTTGACACAACAGTCAAGGATAGCAAAGCTATGTGTTCAGATATGGTAGAGTTTAAGTTGACATACAAAATATTTGTTTCATTATAGGAAATTGATTTATGATATATGTGGACTCTTTATAAATAAGTTTGGCTCGCCGAATTCCGATTCTGGTTTTTGGTCGCAGGCTGATAATCTTCATAAGATATATTTCTCCTATTATCAGATCAAGAGAGCTCGACTGTAAGGTATCCTGGTGCGGCTGTAATCATACATTTTCAGAAATCAAATTTAATCTTAAATCAAGTTTTCAATAGATTCAAAGCATATTTACTAAAATAATAAATAGGTGGGTTCCTTTAAAGGAACTACGCTTCTACAATACAGATATCAACTCTCTTAGCATACTCACAGTCTAACTAATATACAGAAATCACATTTTTATATATGCAAGACAACTCTATCATTACAATCATAATTTCAGCACTTTACTCTCGGTATATGAGGGAAAATCAAGTGCTTAAGGCTTTGGATTAATTGAATTGAACTGAGGAAACTAAAGAGCTGACCCACACACAGGTGATGCAATTATGTTTGTGGTTCTTTCAAAAGCTGCGTTTAACTTCCACTTAAGTGTGATTTCGATAAACAACAGCCACAACAACAACAACAACAACAAGAGCAACAACAACACCGAGTGCTGTCGAGTGCAGAGCTTGGGCCTTAAGCTGCTGAAGGCTGACAAGGGGAATATAAATCAAATAAACAAACCTCATTAACATATTATCAGCATCAAATTGTGACACGGCCCGTCATTTTGGGTTCAAGTGAGAAATCTGTCACGAGGCATTAAATCGCTGAAGGCAGCCGACAAAGCCGCAAGACCAAGTCGATTTGACTTCTAAGGTGGAGGCGCTAATGGAGATGGAATTCCTGGTATCCGGGACGAGCACACACACCCCAGGATAATTATGCGTGTAAACAAGCGTGATGATAGTACGCTGACGTATGACGGCTCAAGGGTTGTGATTTAAATGGCGAGCCACCTTGCCTGAGCTGATGAAAAGCCCAACTACTGCTCAACAAATTGCCGAAAATTCCTAAAGACGTTCGCGCCCTTCCGCCGTCAACAGCAGCAGCAGCAGCAGCAGCAGCCGCTTGTTTTCCGACTGATTTATTCGTGTTGTGTTTACGTGTGTGTGTGTGTTTGTGTTTGTGTGAGTTGGCAACAATTAGAAAAGTTACCGCAGGATGTGCGCACAACACACAGCAGCTCGCAGCAGCTCAGTCTGAGTCTGAGTCTGAGTCCTTGGTCTGCCTTCCCCGTTCTGGGCCGTTGCGCTGTGCGTTTTAATTTGACGAAAGACTGATGACATCTCATTAATATTCATTGCCGCTGCAAGGCGCTGGGATTTGTGGCCATATATCCTGTTTATGCCCGACCTGACTGCTCGGCCTACTCCTGCGTGGGAGTCTTCATGAGTTTTGATTCTTATGAGCTGTTAAATGCTTTTGACTTGACTGTGCAAGTGGAGGTGGACTAGAGCAGCGATTGGGTTGTCTACAAGTGAACCTAAGTAACTCTAAGGCTTTCCCTTTCGATTAGACTAGAGTATGGCAGACAAACTAATAGCAACTTTAGTGGCCAACATAGCCGTCGCCTTAGCCACTTAGCCACATCATCGTCATCTCGGCTGAGACATGCGAATGCCCATATATTTAGCATATTTAAAGTCTAACCGTAATCCACTTTTGTTTAGCAGTTTATGGTCCGGCTCGCAATGCCCATAAGTATTTCAAATTAACGACGACACTTCAAAATAATTATGAAGCACATGACGCCAGGCGAGGACAATGGGATGATGCTGAAGCCACTGAAGAGGCCAACGATGCCGAAGATGCTGAGGATGCTGAAAAGCCGGAGCATTTAGCTCAGGCAGCAAACGGTGTGTGTACTTACCGCTGGCACTTTTAAGATGCTGCCGTGACATATTTATGAAGTTCAATTATCATAAAATGCAAATGAAATCGTCATGCCCGAAAACGTCAACGTAGACCCCATCCTGACCTCTGCCCCCCCTGTGACCCGCTTCCGTAAACCCAAGCAGCACACGCTGCAACCCCAAGGCGCAATAAAACAAAACAAGCCTGAGAGAGGCCAGGTAATGCTACCTCCCACTCCCCCTCCCACCGCATGGGCCCAGGGGCTGAGACATGGCCAAAATTAAGCAATTTACTTGCGATATCCGCCAGCCACGCATACCGCATCCCGCATACCCCCCGAGCCAGCTGCTCCAACTGGGCGCGACACATCCACAAAGACGCAGACGTCAGCCAGCGCTCCGTCTGTCTGTGTCCGCCCGTGTCTGAGTGTGTTTTGGGTGTGGTGAATTTTATCTGTCGACTGGCGCTATTAAAAGAAATTACGCTCAAAACTAAATTGCGGGCCAGCACAAAAGGTGCAACAGTGGAGAGCGGGGAGCCGGCTGCCGCCCCCCGCCCATTGAAATGAGAAACGATTATGTTGGGGGCCTGAGCCAGGCGAAGCATAAAGAAGCGCCGAAGAACAACAGAAGAGAACTTTTTAACTTGTTTGCGTGTTGCTATTTACAAGTCCTGTGGGACCTGGCGGAAAAGCGGGGCGGGAGCTGGGCTCGAATACGGTCACACAGGTAGCGCCAATGCCGCATTGCTGATGTTTGCGTTTTTCTTTTGCATTGTTTTTGCTTATTTTCTGTTCAGTTTCGGCATTTGGCGTTCGTCTCGTCTCTCACTTGTCGCCTTTGTTTTGGTTTCTCAGCTTGGCGCTAGTTTTTCGCGGGATATCTGCTCGAGCTGGAGTGAGAGAGGAAGAGAGAGAAAGAGAGGGAGTAGGAGTATCGCTGCCCATATTATGGTAATTTAGTAGCGCAATTTTGCGGAAATTGATGCTGGACGAGCTCAAGGCTCGAGGCTCGATGGGTGGAGGTCATGCTGCTTGCCAGGATCTCTCCCTGCCCTGGCTAATATTTGTCTTCTTAATATGCATTTAAATGAAAACAAATTCAACAAATGAGAAAACCCTTTCCTTCATGTAAATACACAGAAAGACATTACGTATACGCCATGTCAGTCTAGTAGGAATATATAAGTATATAGAAAAAATATTGTTTTATTATTACACTTAAATACAGTTCGACGGTTAAATGGATAGCAAATGCGATGATGAACACAAAAATCTATAAAAAAAAAAAAAAATTAAATAAAATAAAAATTATAAAGACCTTCGTAATTTAGGGAGGATGCAAATCGTGCCCTCTCGCTTACTCCTACTTCAAAGGCTTCTGATAAAGTACCTGCTATTGAGCGCTCTTTACACACACAGACTTATATAGAATATTGGAATAAACATGCATACCCGTATTCTGCTCTCACGACGAGCAGCAAGTCTTCTAAAACCGTTACAGACAGTTGTATGGCCAAGCTCCAAATACTTTGCACAGTTTGCTCTGAGTCTCGTAGCGCAGTGCATATTCCGTTATACAGATAGACGTAGAAGAAGAAAGTCTGTTGAAGCAGCTTCAGCAAGAGAGTTGTTGTTACCAAAACTAGTGCGTCAAGAGGCAGAAAGAGTAGATCTCGCAATTGGGCCAAGACCATATTAACGGTTCTGCTGAACATTGAATTTAGTTTAAATAATGCAGACATTTTTTTCTTAATTTTTTTCTTCTTTTTTTTTGTATTAATTTTTTTTTTATCAAATATTTTTCGCCTACTATGGTGAGCTGTATAAACATGAAAACAAAAATATTTAAAAATTACATCAATTTATTCATATTTTATAAAAATATTTCTTTTAAGTTGATTTATTCGTTTAATTACCAGTTCTAAAGTATAAATAAAACAAATAATATTATTGTTATTTTATTATTTTCTTTCACTTTCTTAGATTTATTTGTAATATATAATATGTATATCCGAACTGTCGCTGTCAAAGCAGTCTGGCTACATTTAATCGATTTGTTATCGAGCATCGATAGTCTACGATTTCAATATCGATGCTTTATATAAGTTTTTGAAAGTTCAACCGCTGTCAGTCAACTTTAATTTGTCCCATCAAAATGGCATCGAATAAAAATTATAGGCGAAATAAATCAACGAAAATGGAGGGAAAATCACAATGCATCAACTGGAGAACTATGAATTCGCATTATGAACAGAATAAGAGGATTAGGGATAAACTCGATAAAAGCAGCAGGAGAAGAGGATCACGTAGAGAAACATTCCATCTGATGCAGCCTCGGATGCCAGATCTGTCCTATGTACGCAGGAGGAGCAGACAGACAGAGCCTCAGTCCGTTGAGCTGGAAGATGGCGAGCTGTCTGATGAAGATGTTGAGATGCTGCCCATTTGTCGCTTCCATCTGGCAAACAACTGCAGGCATTCGGGCAGCACTGGTATGGGCAACTACGTCATGTTTGAGCCCGTTAAATTGCCGCTGCTGCCAATGCCGGACATATACGGCACATGTATGAAGGGCCTGTCGCCCATGGCAGGCTGGATGCACGAGACGGAACGGGAGAGCTCCTTTGATAGAAGTCTGAATAGCTTTCGGCAACTCATGATGCAGTCTGGGCATAAAGTGGGTGGCCATTTGATCAGGTGTGTGGACAACGAGCAGTCTCTGACGGAGTTGAACGATTTGGACACAGATCCCTACTACACGCATCCCGAGCAGGCTGACGAACGTTCACCTCCGCGATCCCCGATGGACAGCTCAAGCCTGTACTACGATGACCTGTTACGTTGGCGTGGGCGCGATATGCTGGACTGGCAATCGAGCAGCAGCAGCAGGAGAAGCAGCATCAGTAGCAGCAGCTCGTCGGATTACTCCTCCACAACGAACTCGATGAGCTCTTCGTCGCCTATGACACTGTGCTCAGACAATCCACTCAAACGCAAGCTGTACCGTAGGCAAAGGGGCCGCAGGTGGAACAGTTACTTATCCTCGGACAGCGATGCGTCCAGCTATAGCTCCAGCACACCCTCCTCTGAGCAGAGTTATTCCTCCTTGGACGTGAACATGGATACCATCAATTCAAACTACCCGAACTCAATGAGAAGAATTAAAACAGATGCTGGACCTCCGTCGAAGAGTCGAAAAACTCTCTAAAGAAATAATTTATATGAATTAACAGCA